AACACACATTGTATTTTTATTTGTTGTAAAGTTCCTTAAGAGACCAAGTGTGGTCAGATTTCTTGAGAAGACTAAGACTGTTTATCTTAGTGGTTATCACTATAATCAGTTTGATTTAGTGGATTAAGTCCTTGTTGAGAAAGACAAATCACCTTGGTAGGGTGAACTTGAGTAGTTTGAGTTTAAACGAACCAGGATAAAAATACCTTGTTATTTTTATTATTGTCATAGTTGTTATTTGAAACCTTTATTCAACCCCCCCCCCCCCTTCTAAGTGTTTTTCCTACCTTCACTTACTCTTAGAGTTTCGATGCTTGGGCCCCTCATCCTTTCCTATATGAAGGAATGATTTACTTTAGAGTACTTGGTACTAATAAGTTTAGAAATGACGTCTGCTTTGGTGTTCTACTATCTTGGGGCGTTTAAGATTTCAAATTACTTGAACTTCTTAAATATTTCCTTGGTTAGAATAACATATCGATGTAATAATAGGTCTTTAGTTTGAGCTTCTCTCTTGACTTGAGATACCACGAGTTGAGAATTCATCTGTAGTTTGATATTTTATATCTTTATCTTTGCGACCAAAGTGAGACCGGTTATGAAAAGTTTATATTTGGCCTGATTGCCGGTGGTCGGGAATTCAAAGCATAAAGATACCTCGTTCATCGATTCAACTTTATTCTCCAAAATGAGATCAAGTTTGCTTCCCTAAGTGTTAGCGATGCGTGTGAACACGACCCACGTGTTGGCTGGCTCTGATGCACCTATAGTCATTTATACAATAAATTCTGAAAGCAATTGGGCTTTTTGAGCTTTCCTTTCTACAGAGTAGACATCAAATTTAGAAAGTTTAATAGACCAGTTCGTTGACGTCTTGATAAATCCAAGCAGTAATTGCTTCAAAAAAAATGCTCGAATTATGATGATATGTGCCACACAATATTGTTGTAGCTGCTTATAAGCGATCACTAAGGTCAATGTCTCATTCTCTATCTTTTGATAATATATCTCTGGTCTAACTAAGGCTTTAGAAATAAAGTACCAAAGACTTTGTACTAAAATCTCCTCCCGCACGAGGGCGAAACTAAATGCTTCATAGGACATGACCAAATAAAGAAATATGTTCTCCCCTATGAAAGGTCGAGATAACATTGACGGGGTTGACAAGGTTGTCTTCAGGGATATAAATGATTTCTCTCATTATGGAGTTTGTTCAAAGTGTGTTTCTTTTTCAATAACTTGTAAAATGATAGGACATTCTAAGTTGGCTTATAGAAGAACCTGCTTAGATATATTAACATTTCACTCATTTTTATCATCTCTTTCTTCGTGGTTGGTTTCGCCATCCATATGACAACTTCACACTTATCAAGGTTTGCTTTTATGCATTTATTCATTAAATAAAGACCCAATATTTTATTGGCTCTGACTCTAAAATTATATTTATATGGATTGAGCCTCATATTGTACTGGCACACTTTTTGGAACACGCAAATAGGTGCTCGGCATGTAGTTTCTCTTCGTCGGACTTGACGATCTTGTCGTCCATATATACCTTCAATGTTGATCTTGTATTCTTCAACCCAAAAATCATCACATTGTACTGGTAATTAGCTTGTTCAGTAATGAAATTTGTTTTTCTCTCTGTCCAACTCAAACATAGGTATCTAATTATAACTGGTTGTCAATATTTGGAAACAAATATGAATCTATGGGGCACACCCAATTGAGTTATGTGTAATAAACACACACCCTTCACTTCCCAATCCTTTCTTCACCAACACGATATTGAAGAACCATTAAGTGTATTTAACTTTGGAGATAAAGTTAGTATTGAGCAAGCCCTAAATCGTCTTCATGGTTTCTTCAACCTTATTGAGGGGTTATCAACTCCTTTGTTGGGATACATATTTGGCACAAAGACCGATGTTCATATGATAGCATGTCACACACAGGTCTATGCATGACATCTTATGGAGAGAAATCACGAAGAGTCCGACATTGATCCTTAGGCATTTCACAGGTGCTTTATTTACCTTGACTAGTAGAACAATACTTACTCAAACTGACTACATCGAGTCATCATCGAGTTAGACGACTTCAAACTTTCCATATGAAATCGACCTTAAGGTTTTCATCTTTCGTCTAGTTGACATTATAAGTTCTTCGTCTTGCAGAACTTCATCTTCTCGTACATCAAGATCGAATATGTTGATCGTTTCACCAGAGGTTGTGGTGAGTGTTGAGATTTTTGTTAGTATTGCCTTATATATAAGACGAGTTCCATGCATGTTTGCTTTAACAAGGATTGGTTTACCTGAATTATTATGGTATTTCATCTTAAGATGGATTGTAGAGGCTACAACATCCATTGTTGTTATGAAGGATCTTCTAAGGATACCGTTGCAGAAAAAGAGATTTGTTCACAATTCTCATTTCCATCTCTTCTCTGAAGGAAACTAGTAGGTCTACTGCTCCACGCGATCAATTTAAATAATCATTGAACACCATAAGGCTTTTACCTGCACATAACTTTAAATCTTGCATGTGTAACCCTAACTTCATGAAGATACCAAGATACATTATGTCACACGAGTTTGCATCAATATGGATCCCTGACATTGAATGAATTGTTATGATGGTTGTTATGATTAACCGCATTAGGGATTTTATCCACCTTTTTGTGGTATCTCAATCCCAAAATCGATCTATCCTTCATTCGCTTCTCGATTTACATCATTGGTTTAAGGGAGTTCTTCCTACTGATCAAATCGATGAAGAAAGTCAATAATGATCCATAGTTGAAAGTATTTGAGGTGCTCTAAAAACAAGATCGAAAGCCTGTCTCTTCATGATAGCGTGACTACTATGACGATTGTGGCTCGAATTAAAGGGGGTTGATTGTGAAAATTCGCAAGAATCATACGTTGATTTCCACATACGTCACCACTATTCAATTTAGAACTAGAATTAAGCGGTATAACGATGAGATGATGCTTTGCTGCAGCGAACTTGAACTTTCAATGCAATAGAAAGGAGACTAACTTACACGACTAACATTCAAACGCAAGTAAGAGAGAGGATACGCAATACTCCCTCATACCCAAAATAAGAGTTTTTTAGAAAGAAAAAAAAAAGAATTGTCCCAAAATAAGAGTCATTTTATATTTTCAATACAACATTAATTAATTTTATCAATTTTACCCCTACTAAATATTGTCTACACTACTTCCAACCTATTATATCATACCACTCTTTCCGTTTTTTTTTATTATAAGTCATTTTTTTATTTTTCACACGTATTAAGAAATATATTAATTGTTGTATGAAAAAAAACTATGTAAGATCTTACAAAACTGTCCTTCATTAATAGTATTGAAAAAATAAATTTACATAATTAAAAAGAGAAAAAATAATAATTAAAAATATAATACAAAAATAACATTAATAATTTATTACTATTATAAAACAAATACAAAATATTTTTTCAAAACAACTTATAATAATAAAAAATAAAAAAAATAGTTTAAATTTATGACAACAAATCTTAATAATTAAGAATAATTTTATAAAATTATTATATTTAATTATTCAATTTTTTTATCTAAAAAGCTTTTATTTAATCAAGAGAGATTTTTCCTCACTCGATATTATTTATACACCATATTATAAAATTATCATACCACGTGACAACATGATTATACTGTTTTCGAATTTGTTAGTACTTCTTAAAAGTGACTGACATCACATCACCGATTAAAAGTAAATTTAAAAAAGAAAAGAAAAAAATATTGAAACCTAAATAAAAAACACTAATGAATAAGTTAAAAAAACTTACCAATAGGGCTGGAAATGAGTCGAGTCGAGTCGAACTCACCTCAGCTCGGCTCGACTCGTTAAGAATTGTTCGAATTCGAGTTCGAGTTCGAGTTTGACACGAACTTTTTTTTAAGCTCAAACTCGACTCGTTATAAGTTCACGAACAGTTCGGTTCGACTCGTTAGGTTCATCTCATTAGGTTCAGCTCACATGGTTCACGAACTTAAAAACTATTTTTTTAAATATATATATTTTTTAGTATATTTGACATTTTAAATAAATATATATATTTTAAATAAAATATTAAAATAAAATAAAAGTTATCATATTGAAATTTAACTTTATCTTCGAAATCTACTAATTCAAAACCTACACAACTTTCAAGAGATACATTTGAGAGTCTAATTCAAAAACTACTAAATTGAAGATTAAATTTGTCTAAAATTTGAAGTAAATATTTAAACCTAATTTTAAAGACAGTATAATTCTTTTCATATGTAATCGAGTTGACTCATGAACCTAACGAGTCGAACTATGTATAGTTCAAGTTCAGCTCATTTAGTTAACGAACTTAATTTTTCGCTCATACTCAATTCATTTGGTTCATGAACCTAGTTCAACGATTTAATTGTCGAGTCGAATTCCGAACTATCTTCGAGTTGGTTTGGTTCATTGCCAGCTCTACTTACCAATGATCATGAATAGCTATAACACTGGTACAAGTTCAAAAAGTACTCCTCCAATATTTCCCTTCTTTGCTCGATAAATCACTTCACTGCGTTTTTTAAAACTGAGTACTTTGACTACTGCGCACTCTACAGTTGCACTCGAATCTCTCAAATCTACATACTTGATTTAAATTTCCACATTCAAATCCGAACTAATTATTTTTAGTGTTTTCATATTACTATAACTTCAAACGTGCACTCAGCTTCAGCATTGAACTGAGGTGAAAAAGTGCAAACTTTACACATTGCTCCAACTTCTGATTCTCAGGTAAACCTTTATTTCTCTCTCTCTTTTTTTTAAAAAAATCTATGCCTCTTAAAGTGTGGTTTTTGGGATCACACATGCATGTTCAATCAAAACTGTTCTTCTTTTGAGAAATGCTGTTAGGTCAAATAGTATACGGTAACTGATACCAGAAATGGTGATTGGTTTTGAAAATCAGTGGATAGAAGATGAACGTGGTGGATTCGTTAGATGTGTGTCCAACTGAGGATGCAATTGAGGTATTTTTGCAACATTTGGTTGATCCATTGCTGCCGGAAAATTCTTCTGTCAAAGATAATCCCACACCTTCTCAACAGGAATCAATAGCTAAACAGGTGTGTTTTTCTTCTTTTATGATGATTTTACTTCGAACATTAAGCTGTGATGCTGTTTCTCTTTTTAGGTTTAGAGGATTGTTGGAAATGTTTAGGGTTTTCTTTGCATGTTATTCTTATGGTTTACTTACGGCACAGGTTGTAATAATTACATTGCTTGTATGTTTTTCTTGCTTGCTAGAAGCGTAGAAAGCTGTTATAATAATCTTTCCGGAATGGAATGAAATGATTGGCTGTACATTATGTTTTCATCTCTTCAGACAACCTTCCATATGTGGTTAATAATATTTTACATTCTTAGCTCAATAGGAGTCACTGTTTTAACCACATCCGTTTTCATGGTACTTCATTGCTCCCTCATTATTCCTTTTCTAGGGGAATTTGTGATTTTCTCGTATTGATATGATGTTGTTCGGGCCAAATACACACATCCGTTGATCCTATAAGTTTGATGTTTTTAAGAAGTTGGTCTTTTAAAAAATATTGTGACAAATTGGTCCTTTAAAGCCAAATATACACATCCGTTGATCCTTTAAGTTTGATGTTCTTAAGAAGTTGGTCTTTTAAAAAATATTGTAACAAATTGGTCCTTTAAATCATAAAATGTATGGACCATTACCAGTTTTTATCCAACTCTGTTAAAAAGTGCTTCAGTAGTCATTTAATATTGAGATAGAAGGTCTAAAATGTGCTTATGACACCAAATTTAACAGATAAAAATATCATCACCAACATCATAAATCAAGTAATCGATCTGTTTCGTTTTATACCAAGATTGGATAATACACATGAATTGTTGTTTTGCGAGAGATGAATTTGGAAATGCCACCTCAGCTTTAAACAACCACATAAACACATTTTCACGAAGTTGGATGAAAATGGGGGTGACGGTGCATACATTTTATGACCTTAAGAGCTCCTCGATGACTATATAGCCTTCTAGTGCATTGTCTTGTGTAACTATCTAAAAATGAAAAGAAAAATATCCAAGTTCTCATTTCATTATAAGTTATATCTCATACATCTTCATACCTATATGTTGTAGATATATAGGAATATGTATGACCATCTTCTCTAGTTATTGATTTTTCTGTGTTTTGAGGTTGGTTTTTAGGTGCGTTCGGCTGTCTTACTGTACAACTACTACCACAGGAAACAACATCCAGAACTAGAATATCTGCCATTTAACGAATTTTGCAAGTTGATTGTGGTTCTAAGACCACCTTTATTGGCATATATGCAATTCATGCAAAATTTTAACGAAGTAGAGCTTATTGATGTGGAGAAGCAGCTATCGTTAACAGAAAAAGTGATCATGGATGCATGTGATGTCTCTAAATGTTTAGATGCATCAAAGAATGCACCTAATAAGGAGGGATGGCCCATTTCGGAAGTTTCTATCCTTTTAATTGACGGCAAGAAAGAGAACTGCTTTTTGCTGTTTGGTTCCATCACCAAGGGGGTATGGTCTGTGGTTGAAAAAAGTATAGATGCCTCCAGCCAAAGTTCTGAAGTTACACCCGAAATGAATAATACATACAAAAGGAAAAGAATCGTTAAAAAGTCTAAAAAAGAGGATTTAAAAGTTGACGAAGATGGACTTCTACAAATTGGGTATTCTGCTGTAAAGGAAGCCACAGGTAATCATTCTTGTCAATGGGAAAGATCTCCATGGCTTTGCAACTGCTGTAGTTTAATTTTAAGCCTGTGTTTATGCATATATTTGCATCACAAATCAAAGGATATTCATCATGATGTATGCATAGGGTTTTTGTTCAAATCTATTTGAGGTTATTATTCTTTCAACACTTCGTTCTGTCCTTCCCACTTTGGTATCTCCCAACCAATATAGTCCCAATCAATTGCCTATTGCTTTTTTGTTTAATTTCCCTATTTGTTCAATAACCGCCTAATAGTAACTGCTGCCTAATAACATAATATCAATGCTAATAAGATATCTAACACATGATATGTGCAATGCGGCCCAGGTATCAATAGAACTGATATTATGCTTTTGGAAAGCTACACTATCTATTCCCTAAGCAAAGAGAAGGCGGCTTCTCGCTTTTTTATAATGCAATGCTCCCAGTCAATCAATCAGGACATTATTAAAGTTCCTCTCAAAGATGTAATTGAAAGGTTCGTTTTAGTTGTTATCAATTTTCTACTGGATGATTACTTAATTCAATTCTCTAGGGTGAATGACATTAATATCGCCATTTTTCTCATTGATAAAATAATGGCATCAATGCCTATTTCTGTTAGTCATTTAAGTGGAGTATTTTTTTTATGCGGAATTAAATATATTTGTGTGCAATAGTTGTGTTCAAACTTCAAACTACTCATTAATGTCATTTTCTAGATACTACTGAATCAAGTTATGAACTAGTTTTATTTTTATTATGTCTTTGAGAATTAATGAAATATTAACCTTTCATTTTGATATTTTTTAAAAAAATAAATTTGCACAAAGATTTTGGATAGACAGGATTTTTAGCCAGAATGTTACAATCTTATTGTGAATGTGTATTTTAGAGATCATTATAGAATGACGTTTACTGTAACTAGGGATGTACATTCTGTGTACCCTGAAGTATTAGTTGGTTGTGTGGATTTAATTCTTAGATGTTTGTCCCTATTAAAATGAGATATGAGAGAGAAGAGAGAGAAAGCTAAAAGAGAAAAGAGAGAAACTGATTCTATTATTATGTTGAATTGGAATGGAGCATGATGCTCTCATGATGCTCTATTTATACAAGAGGAGTTGAACATTCAAGAGTTGAATCATTCAAGCTCTACATTTAAGGATGACTTTTCTTATTCTATTAAATTAAGGCTGACCTTAATTACTATAGTGCTGATTTTTCATATCCTAAGATATAACTCTAATACTCCCCCACAAGCTCAAGGTGGCTGCAAAGGCTAACTTGAGGCAGACAGGTTGAGCTTGCTGCTGAGCTCCATAAATCTTGAACTTGAGAGAGGCTTGTTGAGGATGTCAGCCTTCTGGTCAGCACCAGGAATGTGGCAGACAGTGAGAGACTTCTTAAGGACCTTTTCTCTTACAAAAAAGAGGTCAATTTCCATATGCTTTGTTCTTGCATGAAGAACAGGGTTATGAGCCATAGCAACTGTGCTCTGGTTGTCACAATAGATGACTGGAGTTGTCAAGGGAATTTTTAGTTCAGCTAGCAAAGTTTGAACCCATAAAACTTCAGCTGTGGTGTGAGCCAAGCTGCGATACTTTGCCTTAGCACTAGAAGGAGCAACAACAGTTTGCTTTTTGGACCACCAAGAGATCAAATTAGGGCTTAAGTAAACAGCTGACCCAGAGGTGGATCTTCTATCATCTGGGTCAGCAGCCCAGTCAGCATCACAGTAGGCCTGCAGCAAGAACGGAACTGTGGAGGCAGGAGTGAACAATAAACCAGAGGTGATAGTGCCTTTTAGGTAGTGCAGAATACGCTTGACAGCTAGCCAATGGGACCCCAAGGGGTGTGCCATGAACTGACATACTTTGTTAACAGCATAGCAGATTTCTGGGAGTGTAATTGTTGCATACTGCAGGGCCCCTACAATGGACCTGTAGTGAGAGGCATCGGACAAGGCAGCAGACCCTGTTTTGATGAGTTTGGTGGTGGATGCCATAGGAGTAGCAACTGGATTGGAATTCTCCATATCAGTTTTGATTAGCAAGTCCCTTAGGTACTTAGATTGAGTGAGAAGGAGATTACCATTGGACAGTTTCTTCACCTCAAGGCCCAGAAAATAATCCAAGTCACCAAGTTGTTTGAGAGCAAACACATGATTTAGTTGTTGAGTAACTTGCTTGATGAGAGGAGGAGAGTTTCCTGTGATGATTATATCATCAACATAAACCAGCATATAAATGACAGCACTGTGATGCTTATATCATCAACATAAACCAGCATATAAATGACAGCACTGTGATGCTTGTAGATGAACAGTGAAGTATCACACTTGCTGTTCAGAAAGCCAAAGGATAAAAGAGTGGTTTTGAGTCTTTCAAACCATTGCCTTGGGGCCTGTTTGAGGCCATACAAGGCCTTGTGCAAGTGACAAACCAGAGATGAATTAGGGGCAGTAAATCCAGGGGGTTGCATCATATAGACCTCCTCTTCAAGAATGCCATTCAAAAAGGCATTGTTTATATCTAACTGCTGCAGAGGCCAATTGTAAGTGAGAGCAAGAGTCAAAATAATTCTAATTGTGACCGGTTTAATAACAAGGAAGAAAGTTTCATTAAGGTCAAATCCATGGACTTGATGGAACCCCTTAGCAACAAGCCTAACGTTGTACTTATTTACTGTCCCATCAGGATTTTCCTTTACGCGAAACAGCCACTTGCAGCCTATTGCTTTCCTGTTAGCAGGCAGTGGTACCAAAGACCAAGTGTTGTTCCTTATCAAGGCACCATACTCCTCTTGCATAGCAGTAAACCACTTAGGATCTTGGAGAGCAGTTTTAACACTCTTAGGCTCAGAATTGACAAGAAAAATGGAAGGATTTAGACGAGGTAAGGGTACACCAGATTTAGTTCTAGTAGTCATAGGATGAGTATTGGTGGGGAGAGGTTGAAGGTTAGTATCCCTAGGAGCAGAAATAGAGGAGGAGGATGGTGAAGTGGTAGTAGTAGGCTGATTGTTGGCATTTGAAGAGGGTGAAGGAGTAGGATTAGTGCTGGCTGTTTGTATTGCAGGGGTGGCTGACACAGAGGCAGTAGGTGTGTGGCTGGAATTAGATTGAGAAGAAGAAGAGGAGTGTAAGGTAGTGGAAGCAGTAGGAACGGGAAAAACATTAGGGAGAGCTTGTGTGTTAAGGGTTACTTTAGATGAGGAGGAGGATGAAATGGTTGATGAGGGGAGAGAAACATTAGAAAAAAAAGATCATTGTAAGGAAATTTGGACTCATTGAAAAGAACATCTTTAGAGATGAAGATTCTACCACTTGGAGAGAGACATTTGTAACGTTTGTGAGCTGTAGAATACCCTAGAAAAAGGCACTCATGGGATCTAAAGTCAAATTTCTGCGAGTTGTATGGGCGAAGGAGAGGAAAACAAGCACACCCAAAGACTTTGAGGAATTTATAGTCAGGACTTTGATTGAAAAGGATAGCATATGGTATATGTTGATTGAGAGACATGGTTGGTAACTTATTTATTAGGTAGACAGCAGTTAAAAAGGCATGATCCCAAAATTTGAGAGGTAAAGAGGCATGACTCAAGAGGGTTAAACCAAGATCAACAATGTGTCTATGCTTCCTCTCCACTACACCATTTTGGTGATGAGTGTGAGGGCAAATTGGACGATGAATAATGCCAAGATCAGAAAGAAATTTTGTAAATGGCCGAAATTCACCACCCCAATCAGTTTGGACAGATTTAATAGGAAATCCAAATTGTAATTCAGCCATGACTTTGAATTGTTTAAAGATAGTTAAGGCTTCAGATTTATTTTTGAGCAAATAGATCCAAGTAAATCTAGTGTATGCATCAACAAAGGTGATCTAGTAGGTAAAGTTTTGGGAGGATTTGACTGGGGCAGGACCCCATAGGTCACTGAAAATTAATTCAAGAGGAGAGTGATATTGAGTTTGTGACTGAGGGGAGTGCAGCCTATGTGCCTTTCCCATACAGCAGGCAGAACAAAAGACATATTCAGCTTTATTAGAATAAGGAATATTGCATTGAGCTAAAACAAGTCTCATAGTATTAGAATTTGGATGACCAAGGCGTAAATGCCAAGTATGTTGAGAATTATATGAGTTATTAGCTGATACATTTTGATTAGAAATTGAAACTCCATCACTAGTGCTGGAATCAGATCTTGAAACAGGAGCATTAGAGTCTAAGGTGAGACATGAGACTTGACTTGTTGAAGGAGACTTAAGAAGCTGAAGATGGGAAAATTGGTACAGGCCATCACTTCCTACACGACCTTGGAGCAGAATTTCATTGGTAGCCTGAGATTTGACGTAGCACATATCAGCATGAAACTCAAAGAAAACTCTATTATCAAGACAGAATTTGCTGGCACTTATCAGGTTCTTTGTAATAGAAGGAACAAGCAGTAAATAATGAAGAGCTAATGGAGTGTTGGGTTTAGAATGAGAGGGAAAATAAGAAGAGCCTGAAGAGTGAATGTGCAAACCTTGACCATTACCAATGAAGATCTGATCAGGACCTTCAAAAGGTGTGGTCTGCTGTATGTTTTGAGAGGCATTGGTAACATGATAAGAAGCTCCTGAGAAAAGAGAGAAACTTGTACTATTATTATGTTGAATTGGAATGGAGCATGATGCTCTATTTATACAAGAGGAGTTGAACATTCAAGAGTTAAATCATTCAAGCTCTACATTTAAGGATGACTTTTCTTATTCTATTAAATTAAGGCTGGCCTTAATTATTCTAATAGTGCTGATTTTTCATATCCTAAGATATAACTCTAATAGTCCCCATATTCTATAGTGCTGATTTTTCATATCCTAAGATATAACTCTAATAGTCCCCATATTTGAAATTATCTGATCAGCATAAAGAAGTAAAATTGATAGTTAATAAACTTAGCATTTGCTTCTGAATAACATTTCTGTCTTCTTTTGCATAGCTTGCAGGGTCCTTTGGTCAAAAAGTGTTCTAGCAGTTGGACGATCACTCCAGCTGTGGCTTACTTCCATGTGCTTCCTTATTCTGATATAATCACACAGTGCATTTCTAGGTTGGCACGCTTCTCCTTATACCGGTTTAGCATGACTGAAACATTATAATATATATGCACTTCTAAAACAGTAAAATCGTGGTGCCTAGGATATGATTCTATTTTGGTGCCTTTACATTCTTAATTACATATTGTGGGTTTTGCTATCTACCTCATTTATTTGAAAAACTTTTTGGCTCTTGCAGTCCCAAGCCTTGATCCCTACAATATTTGAAGAGATTCATTAGTGTAAACGTTTATTTTTGCTCAGAATTATGCAAGCTTTAAAGGAAGGTTGATGTGTGAGAATCTTAAATGTCAATGAACCCCTTTTGCTTATAGAGTTTCACTTGTATGTATGGTTGCATGGTTTGCAAAATTCCCTCAAAACCATAACATACTGTTATATTTTCTGACAACTATTTGTAATATATTGCGGCTAACTACTTGTGTAATCATCTACTTGTGTAATATATTTTACCTTGGCAGAAAAGAATCTCTGGAGCAGAAAGAGAACAATGGGAGCTGTGCTCCCAGTCCATGTGATTTCATCAAGGAGACCCATGAAGTGGATGTCAACGGATCTTCAATTTATCCATCTCAAAATAGAGAAAAGCGACAAAATATCACAAAAACTATACAGGTTAGTGAAGATCAAGAAAAAAACAATGCATCTGAACATTTTAACTCCAATGGCTCTGCTAGTGTTATTCAGGTCTGGGACTATTTGTAGAAAGTAATATGACAAATATTGTCATGTTTAATATTGTAATCTAGAACTGTTTATATGGGAGAAATTTTACAATATGTACCCAAAAAATTTATAACACCAACACCGCCCTTTATATACACCCAAAAAATTCCTCCTTCAGATTGAACTTCATCCTGGTTTTCTATACTTAAATCAAAACGTTCAGCGATAAATTTCATATACTATTAAACAACTTCAGTTAAATTGACCTTTGTAAAGGTGTCAAAAAACCGTCACAACTGTCTTTCTGATCAAGAAATAATTTTCTGCCCATCCATGTTTGATTCACTTGTTTATTACGTCTTCCCATCATTGGTTTGGCAGGTTATGAAGGTTGATTCAACAAATATGATCGTCAATGGAGGTGGAACCGACAATATTGTTTCTTGCGTCAAGCTTTGTGCCAATAGTCCAAATACCTTGTATGAAAAAGAAACAACAGATGCATGTACTCAAAGTTTAAATAATGCTAACTCAGATACAAAGAAGCTCCCAAGTCTTCAAGATTCTAAAAAGACACTGTCGCGAACTGCCATATCTTCTCTAATACGAAAGAGGAATGAGCTGGTAAAACTTTTTGCATTGCTTTTTCTTTCTAATGACAATAATGCTACTATACTCATTTCAGTAGCTATGCATTTGCACCTAATTACAATATACATTGTTGTGGAAAGTTAGTGAGATAAAAACAAAAGGAAGAAATAGCGAGAGGGTGCATTGTTGAAATGTTTTATAGTCAATTTTCTTTGAACCATTACAGTATTATTTTGCTTCGTTCACCCATTGACTGCCCCCCCTTGGTCACAAATTATTGGTTTCAACTTAGTTTTGAAATTAACTTCTTATTGCTACTTTTGAATGCCAAGAAAAGTATATTTGCACTCATCTTAGACTTATTTACGCCATTCAGGCCCTTCAGCAGCAGAAAATTGATGATGAGATCGCTAGTTGTGATGAAAAAATTCAGAGAATGCTAACTGGTATGTTTTCTTTTCACTGTATCATTCTTTATTTTGATTCTCAGGTTCATTATTCTGTCAATATGACTTTTCTCCCTTCATTAGTGTTGTTTTGGGGTTTATCCTCTCTTTGTTGATTCTCTGATAGTTTTTATTTTCTGTTTCAAATACCTGAACGGATCTGATGCTAGTTTAGGTCTACATTTACTCTTTTCTCTGAATAGCTATATATTTTATTGAGTCTTGTTGACATGTGTAGATGGGAAAGATGACTATGAATCGATGATAGAATGCATCATGGAAGGATGTAATGATGCTTCTGTAACAAATCAAGATGGCACGGGTGGACAACAAAGCTTCTCTCGCAAGAGAGATTTGTCAGCGCTGCAAAGTTCATGCCAGGCAAGACATTCCATTTACTTGCTAGTTTTGTATTTGAATTACTGGAATGTCTTGCCTGGCATGACTTACTGGACATTACTTGTCAATCATCTCTTTCATCTTCATTGAAAACAACTACTAACTCCTTTAATCTTGCAGGATCCAGATGGTGTTATGCAATGAAAACAGTTGGGTCCTACAAACTTATCATCTATCTTAATCAGATGGCAAGATTATCTAGTAAGTATATTGTTTATTGAGAAATCCGAAGATCTGATTTTGTCAATGTTAAAAAAAGTTATTATAATTAATAAAACAGTTGTGTTATTTGAACAACAAAAATTGAACATTGTCTGCGACAACAATCTAACTGTGGTTAACGTAGTTCAAATAGGTGGTTAATTATGTTTGGCTAATGGATATACTAGTTATCAAATCTCATGGATATACTAGGTATCAAATCTCATGGATATACTAGGTATCAAATCTTGTAAACCATTACCGTAACTTCATTAACCACAATTTTCATGTGTTCATATCTACATGTAACTGAACACCTGAAAATTATGGTTATCACAATTTTCATGTGTTCAAATCTACATGTAATGGTCAACTGCATTTAAATTGCGGTTGATGAAGTTACACCAGGAGTTAATGAGTTTGTATACCCATTAACCATCTATGGAACGTAATTAATCACCTATTTGAATTTCGTTAACAACTTATAAAATTGTAGGTTTTACAAAAATAATTTCTCTTGCTAAAATCATCAAATGTGTAGCGGAGGGATCAACTTTTTATTTGTTGTCTTTAATCTAGATGTAGAATCCATGAACAGCTTAAATTCTCCTCATAAACCAAGTATTCCATTATGAACAACATTTGTTTTAATTATATTCAATGAGATACAGTGATTTTCATTCCCTACATTTTCTGTCTATAATTAAAATTACATTTTTTCAGGATCTAGATGGTGATATAACGAATGTTGTCAATGATACTAAAAATGACTAGTTTACTTATGTCTCTGATGAGAGTATTATATTTGGTGTCCTGATTTGCATCATAATTTCATTTGATTGATGTTTCTTTCAAAGGTGTATTCCTAGCTAATGTAATATTAAGGGAGCTGAGATTCAGTGTTCAGATGGAGGGTAATATGTGTTTCACTCCTGTTGAAGCGTGAGAATCAGCTGCTGCTAAGATGAGTGAATTAATCGAGCAATGTTGGAAGCGTAGAAATGCATGTTTCTGTAGTGGTTATTGGTTTTTTTTCAGTGGTGTAGAATATTAACAATATGAAGAAAACTGCATGTTCATATGGCTGTATAACCATGTGATAGGTCATGTTGTCAACCAACACGTATTTGAATACATAATCAAATACATTATGCAGTACACCAAGTCATTTGCTTGTGTGGCATTTGCTTGTGTGGCATACTAAAACTCCGTGACTCTAGATTAGATAGGATTAACACCAGTTCTTCTTAGCATGACTATGTTTGTTCAGTTCATTCCTGGAAAAATTAACTTGGTATTGACTTCATACAGCTATTATCTTGCATGGGTTGGCTTGTTTTTTACTGCCAAATTCTAAAACTTAGTAAAGTATTTGTCATATTAATGATGGAAATTTCAGAAGGTAAAGAAAAAATGGAATGATGGAAATTCCTGCACCAATGGCATCATGGTCTATCAAATGAAACGGTCCAAGCCACATGAAATTTAATCTCATCATTACCACTGTTATCTTAGTCTTTTCTGTGTTTGATTCAAATCATATAAAAGTCTAACTCATCTTGATTGGAATTATGAAAAGCCTCAACTCGAATCAAATCTTGAATGCTGATTTTGGATTTTTGTTATGTATTTCTATTTTGAATAATGAATTGTATGGCTCGAATAATAAAAAGTCTGATTCAAATTATAGAAGCAGTCTTGGTTTTGAATAATAAAAAGTCTGATTCAAATTATAGAAGCAGTCTTGGTTTTGAATAATAAAAAGTTTGATTCGAATCATAGTAGTCTTGGTTTTTTAATTCTTCGTTCAAATCATTCGCATTCATACCATTTGCTTGACAACCAAATGGGTATAAACTTTAATTTTTGTGTCTTGCACGTAATATAAACTTTCATTTTTGTGTCTTGCACCTAGATAAATCATTTTTCAAAATTCTATGATTTGGAATACACAACACATTTTTGTCATAAGGGCAATGAAGTATCTACACTGCAAACTGTCTTTTTGTTCTATGCACAAAAAATAGAACTGTTTAGATCTTCAAAATACAAATGGAAGGAAAAGAGAATAGAGAATTACAGAGTTGGAAAAGAGTTAAAAGATAAGATAGAAGGGTAGTACAACCAATCTCCTTTTTCAATTCAAATTTAAAATTGTAACAGGACTATGAGTAAAAACAAGTAAATTTCATAATGTTCGAAACTAAGAGAAAAGCTTATTACAAACTCAAGGCAAATCATCTATATCATTGTATATTTTAAGTTTTAATGAATACAACAAGAAATTTGACAAAAGTGATTGTAATTAACATCAGAGTAAAATGTAACATTAGAATTATTTTTTGCAAGTTATTTACGGACTAAGCCTGTGATTGAAAACAAGAACGATTAAAAGTGTTCATTCCCTCTAGCTGAAATTTCTAAGCTCTAGCTAACTTTAGCTTAAGTATGCTAGCATAGACTAAAACATTTAATCATGATAATCTAAAATTACAATCTCACGGAATATATAGAATGAATAAATGCTTACTCCTCTGTACATCGGTTTGGACCTTTCTATCACAGGGAAAAAGAGAGGAACTCCAATGCTGAATCAAATAACATTGAATTGAAATTAAAAAAAAAAAATCCTCAATTTACAGTAAAAATCTTTCCTTTTTCTACATGGAAGGATAAGGGAAAATCCAGGTGTCAGAAATTCGCATCATCCTCTACAAATTTCAACAAAAACCCCAAAACAGAATTCTTGAGGTCATTATCATTCATTCCTTTATCATTGGTTTCAAACACACCCTTCATGATTCTTGTGTAAAGCCTTTCAAGTTGCGGGATGCTGTATTTTTCACTGCGCTTAACGAAATGCTGCTTAACAGACTCAACCTGTCTTGAAAATTCACCATCTTGCATTGTGATATCGTGAAGGCTGCTACCATCAGCAAGGTTATTTGTACAAGATCCAAGCAAATCTCCATCAATTGCTTCAGGTTCTATTCTTTCAGAATCCTCATCATGTATCTGATGCTGCTCCTGAGAAGACTTTACTGGTTTCGGATCTTGTGATTTGCTTTCTGCTGTAAAACCCATTTTTAATTAACATTAAAATCAACATTTGATATGGAATGTTAATACTTGGAAATCAAATAACCATCATAGGGCTTATAAGCATGACCATTCATATAAAGCACAACAAATATGATTGTGTTTGCAAGTGTAACTAAGCATATAGAGCAAAAACACCAATATGAAAGGATTTGATGAAGTATAGAGATTCCACAATTTTCAAAGACGCAACACAACGCAACATTACCATATGCCTCAGTCCATGCTTATGACAGAAGTGCAGTTACGGCTAAAAGTTAAAACATCCACAGTCATCCTCTGTTATTGCTTTTGTTAGTTAGAAATGTAGGATAACTTCCAAATGTTTCAGAATCTCGATATCAGAACAGAAATACCAGTTGTGTATATGAATTGCATAAACATTTGCATTACACAACCATTTGACATTGATAACAAATTCAAACTGCAAGTGTAAATGCACTTATACCTGTATGGTCGGCATCACCAATCTTCTTAGTTCGCTTCAATACTTCGTAACCCTGATCCATGTTAACCTCTGGTTGGACATGACGAAGTCGGGCGCTAGTTCTAGTAGTGGTACCCAGCTGTACAACAGGAGCAGCAGGGAATGTAGAAGCCCCTAATTCCTCAGGCAAATGAGCTGGGCCACCTTGGCTAGCAATCTTGTCACAAAATGCAACCAGTGCTGGATCCATTTGAGAGAGCATCCCATGCACCTGAATAAGTAACGGTAGTAAAGAGCAAGATAAAGTGCATTTTCCAAAACAATAGTTGACATCTAAACAAAACGGCAATGTAAACCTTAGAGAAAGTTGAAGTACCGTATCACGGAGCTCACAAGCTCTACTGACAATCCTAGTGCCGTTGTAGTCATCTCCATTGTAAGCCTGAATTACATTCATACACAAAAGGATCAAACTAGAGACCATGGTTTAAATTTTGAAATATTGTGTGAAGCATTTCCAACAAATTTATTTCAGCACTGATTGAACTCGGTTAAAAAAATATAAATGATCACGCATTCTCCATTACCCACAGATATATACATGACCTAATCAAATCAACAATAGAGCTCGAGGTACAAGATGCTTGCCTTTGCATTGGAAACAATAAGATCAATGTCCTGCAGGAATGCCGCACATGTAATATAGTTGCCGTTATCAACATGCTGCAAGATAGTAGCAATGTCCATTGGGTTCTGTATAATTGAGCGATAATTAGGTGCATCTTCATCTGAGACTGGAAAATGGAAGGCATTAAACCGTTTGTCATACAATATCCTGCAGTAGGAACACAACATGAGAGAGAGGCAGCATGAATTTGATAAAGGTGTCAATAATCCGAGTGCCAACAACAATTCTACATCAAGCACAGGTTAACCTACCGGTTGCAAACATCTCTAAGGCACATTCGCAATCTTCGAAGTGCATGCTGCTCAGCTTCAACCTTTGCTTTTAGCTCAGATGCCTTTGGGCTACTCGCCAATTTTGGTGCCCTGGGAAGTTCAGAATGGCGTCCTGTATCCTGGGATTTGTTGCTGATTCGCTCCAACAATATCGACATAGCAGCTTCTATTAAACGATTAAAAAACAAGGTCCTATCTTCGGTAGATGGCATGTTCACTTGATAACTGTTCAAAAGGGAGAGACGGTGAACACATGTAATCAGAAACAAAATCCTAGGCCTAATGCTTTTCAAGTCATGAAAGATAAATAACAAACTATATCTCCCTTTGTCCAATTATAAGATCCTTAACAAAAAATTCTTTGACCTTTAACATGACTCCATATGCATTAATGACATTACAAAAATGTCCTTATTTAATTTATCATTGGAAAATGTAAATACATTCTCTCTCTTATGATATTAATAATTATTGGGGCAAATATATAAAACTATCGTACATTTCAAACAAATTTATTACTCCTATAACTTTTACTAATACCCGTGATTTTTGTTAGAGGTACCTACATTTAGGGAAGGAGGAAGTATACATCTAGCTTTACTGCCTTAGTTTTTTGAACAAAGGGTTATTGAAATACTTGTGGGAATAAACACCAAATATAAGAAGCATTAGTATTTGCAATGATGTGATTTACACCCCTTGCTAAAGCATCTGAAATGCATTTGATAGTGATGTATGAACGGCAATGTAATGAAGATTTCTGGGTCTGCTCTTCAATAAATTAAAATTTTGAGAAAATTAATAAGAAACAGATAAACTTGTTTCTCAAAAAAAAAAAAAAAAAAAACTACTATCAGCAAAACTTAAATGTTTTCTTTTCTATATAACAAAGATGTTTTCTCCAGGAACCCCATTATTAGTTTTCCCCATACACAACCATCCATTTAGAAAAATAATAATAATTGTGTACACCCAGAGTGCTTCTGTGAAAAGGAAATCTTGAAGAACTCAAATCAAAGAATTCCTGTAATTTAGATAATCGTACACTGAGCGATGAGGGAAAACTGAAGTAGGCACTTCCTCAACATCAGCAAGTGCAGCTGAGGATGTACCAAGAAGTAAGATAGGTAAGTCAGATGGCAATTCTTCTAGCATAGTCAGTAGAACGGCTCTGAGCTGTTCATGAGCCTGCATGATTAGTAAGCCAATCAAATTCAGTAGCCACAATAAAGAAGCAATACAATTAAGGAGCTCATCAGAATGAAATATAAATTTTGAGCCTGCAGATTAGTTAATTTAGAGCACATCTACAGATAATTAAGATATGTACTCACAGTTTCCCACCAAACATCAAACTGTGGTAAATAGAGAATTGATGGTGTCGTTCTTCTAGCTTCACCAAATATATGTACCAACGCCTCCTCCGGTGTCTTTGCACTGGGATCTGACAGAAGAGATGGAAGTCCTAAAGAATGCACAGGAAATTTTTCCAGTTCATGTAAAACCGCAGGCCCAAGATGATCCTGTTACACTAGAGCAGTAAGTATATTCAGTCTTCAGTTATTTCAAAGCATAGCTTCAGTAATATAAAAAAGTTCCAAAATAATTACCAGCCCAGTGCCTTCACCACCACAAAGTAGAAGCCTAGGTCGATATACAAGTGGAATTGCAGACCCGTAGGAAAGCATGGAAAGTTTGGTTAATTCTGATGCAACAGATACTGGAGGGAAAATATCAGATATAGTACTCATGGCTTTCTCCAGATATCTCTGAAGACATGGTTGAACTACAAGTGACAGTGGCCTAGAGTGCACAGTAGCTCCTCTATGAGCAGCAGGAGTAATTGTAGACATTGCTTCAATAAAATGACACTTATATACTCTGATAGAATCAACATCAATGAGAAATTTGTCATCACTTGTATAAACCTGTGGGTATTTTTCACGGAAAGCACGAATGGCAGCTTCAGTACAGAGTGCCTTTAGGTCAGCACCACAGTAACCTACACAACTAGCTGCAAGTTCCTTTTTCAGTTCCTCTGGAGGAGGATGTTTCCACTTACGAGTATGAATATTTAATATTTCAGCACGTGCCTCACAACCAGGTAAGGGAAAGTTAAATTCACGATCAAATCTGCCAGGACGTCGCAAGGCTCCATCAATAGCATCAATCCTGTTGGTAGCACCTATTAAAACAACTTGTCCACGAGAATCAAGACCATCCATCAAAGCAAGCAATGTGGACACAATGGAATTGTGAATTTGTTCTTGCTTGCTAGATCTCACGGGTGCAAGTCCGTCAATTTCATCAAAGAAGATAATAGAAGGTTGATTCCTTTGTGCTTCCTCAAAAAGTAGTTTCAGTTGTCTTTCAGCCTCACCTACCCACTTGCTTAGGACATCTGCTCCTTTGCGCATGTAAAAGCTAACCTTCTGACCAGCTTTTGAAGCAGAGCAAGCCAAAGCTCTTGCAATTAATGTTTTTCCCGTGCCAGGGGGGCCACATAACAGCACCCCCCTAGGTGGAGTTATATGGTAACTTGCAAAAAAATCTGGATACAACAATGGAAAGAAAACCATTTCCTTTAGAGCATCAATGTATTCAGAGAGCCCGCCTATATCATCAAAACTCACACTATCATCAACCTGCAAGGGTTGGATATCTGCCCCTCCCTTAGAGCTTGGACCAGCAGTTTGAATCCCTGAAGTTAGAGTAGCAAAAGCATCGCCCTGATGACCCCAACCCGATGCAGCAAGGTTTAATCCCCAAGCTGTTGTTCCATGCGTGTCTAGGCCCCCAAAAAGAAAAGGTGGGCCAGATCGGCCACCACCTCGACCCCATGGAATAGCAGGGCCTTGGTCCAACTCATCCACAAGAAGGGAGTCATCCGAATCTTCAGGCCTTGTTAAACGGTGGCGCTTGTGAACACGTGATCCACCCTTCCTTACATCCCTGCTGACCTTGGTTCCCATACCTTGATGTAACACTCTTCGAGGAGACCTTGGTCGCGTCTTCCCTTCCTCCATAGAGAACCTGCGGACATCCGCACGATTTCGAAGATCGTAACGCCTTCTTCCATCCTGCTCCTCTTCACCGTCTTCATCATCACCATCCTCATCACCTTCATCCTCATCACCTTCATCTTCACCCTCAGCATCTTCCTCCCTCTCATGACCATCTTCAGCATCATTTTCCTCAACATCGTCTCCATTTTCTGTTTCATCTTGTTCAACTTTCTCCTCTGAAAGGTCTTGACCATCATCTGATTCTGAAATTAATCCTTCACTACCAGCAGCTTTCGATCGACGAGGCCTTAGACCTTCCCGTCGAGGTGCTGGTTTAGTACCCACTGCACGTTTGCGCTTAGAAGATACTACATCATCCCGGCTGACACTGTTGCTAATCCGGTTTCTTGATGGCCGATGTGTACGACTCTGAAACACGGCTACATACATTAAGCCATAATTACAGATATTTCACGCTTTATAACCCCAACTTTTATATTTAATAGAGTACAAAAACTCACCATTAAATCTGCATCCTCGGATCCAGAGCTGTCTGCAAACTCCCGAAGATTTACATTAATTCTTCTCTCCCTAGTTGAGCGCCGAAGGTTGGCCGAGCCAGACTGTGAATAGAAACACAGATAACACACCTCAGGGATTTAAAACATCTAACATAGCAAAACTGAAAGAATTAATGTTAACATCTGATCAGCTTAAGCAAATGACATGATTATAAGCAGATACGAAAGAGAAATACACACAGAAGTACAATATTAGAAAAATAATTTAATCCGACATTACACATTCAGCTTGCTTTTTGAAGTCTTTGCAATTAGAAAAACAATTACACCTATTCATCAAAAACAACTAGTCACATCACATCCTTCAAAGACAGAGGACAAAACAGAGATATGAAGAGAGATCTACTGTTCAAGCAGAGGTTGATAACCTTCATGTGAGTCAATAGTCGACAAACATCCATAACTTCACAACTCAGTCATATGCATCATATGCAGACAATAATTTGCATGTTCAGTTATAGTTCATTTCAGGACATACACAACAACAACAACCAAGCCTTATCCCACTAAGCGGAGCCGGCTACGTGGATCAACTTCTGCCATAATGTTCTCTATCTAGCACCATGCTTTTATCCAAATTGTTAATCTCAAGATCTTTCTTAATAACTTCTCTTATAGTTTTCTTAGGTCTTCCTCTACCTCTTAACTATTTGACTCCTCTTCAAATGAACTACTCTCCTTACCACAGAATCTACAGGTCTTCTCTCTATATGCCCAAACCGCCGAAGTCTATTTTCAACCATCTTTTCTACATACACAGAAACAATGAAAACCCGAACTTACACCACGAGGTGCAGATAAACATTGAGTGTGATGGGATTCAAACCCACCCCACCAATGCTCTTTCAGAATAAAAGAAGAACAAATAAGAAAATTATTGAAGTGCAATTGTGCAAACTGCAAAGTAGAAAAGCAACTTCATGAAGTAAAGATTGTCATTTCCCCTCCCCCAAAACTTGGAAATAACCTAAACATAAAGAAAGGCGTCATTTTGAGGCCTACAAATATGCAGGCAGAACATTTGTGCTGATTCTGTTCTAACAATTACCATTGTCCAAATAAAAGTCTATATTAGCCTTGGCGGTAACTTTAACATAAGAAATAATGAGACGTAGAGAAACATTCTGAACTAGAGGGCTATGAGTCAGAAAATGGAATGTGGATTTACAGGTATAATAAGGAGTTGCATCAGAAAATAACAGCTAATAGTTAAACCAATGAGGACTGCAAAAAGCAGCAAAGCTATCTTATAAAAAATAGGTCGCTTGGCTACTCTGTCATTAGGGTTTACAAAAAACAGGAGAAATTTTAAGAGATATGGAAACCTAGTTACTGATCCCTAAAATAAAAGATTTGCCGAGTTTTACATTGGCTAAAAATGTGATCTGAAACTAAGGAACCAACAGGTATAGTTCTTTCACAATAGACTCGACCCACTAGGCAACTTGTAATACGACAAGGTTAAACTGACACAAGGAATATAAATAAGTTTTGACAAATTATAAATGTTCTTAATAATTCCATAGATATCCATATATCTCCAAAGTAACTTAGAGGGGGGAAATGCATGACATGATGCCATGCCTGATAGTCCAGGCTATTTAAGAATAAAACCATGCATTTTAATGAATAAAAGAATGATATTCTGAGCAATTATGCTTCTTGAACATATTTAAGATGCAGGCGCTTACATTAGCATTTGAGTCATGTGCTTTCCGATTCCCTGGACCTGGACGCAGCATCTTAGCAATCTGTGAAGCTGCTGTCCTCGTCTTATTCTTGTTTTTCCTGGGGCGCCTAAGATTTGAGTTGTAATACAAGAATGGTGCACGGTTATAACCTGGTGGCCTTGTTTTAATCCTATCACTTGTGCGTAATGGCCCAGAAACAGGATCATCCTGGCTAGGACGTTTGGGATACATGAAAGAATGCTAAGTTTTGTGATTTAAAAAATCACATGGTCAACATATCTCGGTCAGTTACACCTGCATAGAAAGCAGAGTCTACTAGTTAAATTTTCACAAGACAACAGTAAAGTAGCAGAAAATATCAAAAACTTTACTAAAAACAACAAACCATAGGTAATTGTATATTTCTATGCAAGTTCATGCTTAATTGCATAATAAATACCAATAAGAAAGTATTTCTAGAACATTCCTTTTTTATTAAGGCATATTATTGACACGGGCATGAAACAAGTAGAGACTTCATCAAAGATTCATGCAAAAGCATTTCGAAACATAACTACACTTGACAAAACAAAAACAAGAAAGAGAACAATGACATATGACATTGACAAAAGCCTTACCCACTTGCAGAATAACATTTCAAACATTTGTCCTATAATATCATGACTTATTCATGTTCTACGATACCTATTATAAGTCCAAGTCCAGTGAAAGTAAGCACAAACCAGTTTGCTACTGCGAACGGCTGCGACAAAATGGTATCGTAAGATGCCGATACCAATACGAGGACTGCAATCAAAATTGCAACACCCGTACCAACCGAAATCGCGAAAGCGGCAACCGCTACGCGAGCGTAGTTTAATAAAACCTTTTAAACATGTATAATAATGAAATTTCAAAAGTATAATTTGATATTTTCTGTCCTACAAAACATAATATATGCAAGTGCAAATCTTAAGGGAACAATGAAGGCAAAACTAAAAGCAGGAACTCCATTCTCAAATTAGGGCACAACATTTAACATAGCTACAAGTAAAAGATTCCAACATGCATACAAGAAACCAACCTAGAAACAAACATACACCACATTTCTCATACATAAAAATAAATAAAATAATAAATTAAAAATAAAAATAAACAAAAAAATAAATAAGGATTTGCAATAGGAGGAGTAAAGCGAATGAAAACAACAACAATGAAGTTGAAGACAAAACCCATTAAATCCATTACATGAAAAAGTTCATAAAACTGAGTTCATTCCATTAAGTGAAGTTCAGTTAAAGGAAAACAGAAAACGATGAACAAACGATTAGAGAAATTAAAAGTGAAAACCTGATCCCGAGAAATGAACAAATGAATGAGGCTAGGGTTTCAGAAAAGGTTTAGCGGAGAGAAGAGAATGAGTTTAGAGTTTTTCAGAGAGTAAACCAAAACCCTTTCTCTGTGTGTTCTGGTTTTTCTCTGCTTTTGTTTATTTTTCTCTTCTTCTTTCACATATGCCCAATATATTTTGTCTACTGTAGTACAACCCGGATCCGTAACTCGATCCATTATGCATGACCCGCTTATTTTTGGGCCGTCCGGAAACTCAAAAACTCAAGGAGATTACTACATACACCGTGTAAACTTATTCCATACACCATCTAAATCTTTTCATTTTTTTCACATGGTTTTGGAAGACTTTGACAAATTAGTCAAATACAATTTATGTTATTATAATATTTTGAAAATTAAATTTTTTTTAATGATTAACATTTTATTTTATTTTATGCAAAATTATTATTTTAAATGAATGTTAAAATTTTATATATATTTTTAGATTTTTTTTTAAACTCTTTTAAGTGATAGATCACCTTGTAACAATTTTATCGATTTTAATTACAAATTTACTATGTTATTTTTATCACTTAATTAATTACATTTATGTATTCTTTTTTTAATTGGTTTAATCACCTTTTCACAATATGTGTTCGTTTCATTGATTAAAACTATAATTATGGAGAGAAAAAATTGGTAACTTTTAAATTTGATGACTAGTACAATTGAAAAATATGTGAATGATTAAAATAAAATATGTGAATAACTTTGGTTTCCAATTTCTCTAAAGTCACTTAATTTAAAAGTCACTCAATCCTTTTGCCCAATTATGTGAGTATTTTGCAAAAATATTATTATTGAAAATTTTAATTATGTTTATGTATTTTGTAAGTAATTTAATTTATCATAAATATTTGTGAAATATATTTAAATTAAAATTTTATACTAACAAATAAAAGAGTTTAAATATTTTAAATTGAAAATTTGTGGATGTTTATTATTTTTTTTACAAAAGGAGGGTAAAAAGTCTGTTGTGAATAGGATAGCTAGAAACAAAATATAAACGGTTTCTTTATATTCAAGAAACACGCAAGGATTATGGTTAACAAAGAAAACAATGTAACAATAACAATGATTGGTTATAAACTACTATTTTTTTTCTTTCTCTTTCAAACAAGATTACAAGTATACAAAATAACAAATAACCTCTCTCTTATGGTAAAAAAAAAATTGTCACAAAGTCACTATATGTCAACAACTTAGCTTCATCATATTTTTTTGTTTTCCTCAAACCATATTGTAAACATAGATTCTATAACACCTGGTTTGAGTAAAACATTGCAAATTTTCTCAAAGTCTTTGTAGTTAACATAATTCTCACCTTCCATGTGAAAAATTAATCTCTCCACAATTGGTTTCCTACCATGTATAGTGTAGCGAGGAAATTTGTGAGTGTAAGATATTGATTAACTTGGCTTAAAAATGCAAGAGTTGTCACCGCACTTTTATTTTATCCAAAAAAGAAAAGGAAAAAAAGCGAACAAAACCTAAAGAGTTCCAAAACAAGAACAGACAGAGAATGGGTAAGGGGGTTGGTTACGCAAAGGGAATGTGTTAGCGCCTAAAATGTTTGTAGTACTTTATAGGAGCCCTTTGAAATATCTACGCTTTTTGGTTTGAAAAGGTTTGTTTGAAATGAGACTGGGGAGATGAGAAGAGAACTATTTTTAAAGATTTTTGTGTTTGGAGAGACTTATCGCCTCATGCATGCGTATCCACAAAGTGGAATATAGGATACAAACCCTATAGTTCGTGGTACAAATGACAAAAATTTATTGGTTGTGATTCATTTTATCTTGAAAAGACAACTTGTCATTCTCAAGAGAGAACAATCAACTAATTACCCAATGGTATGCGAAAAAGGCATTTGCATCACATTAAGATGGGGGATTTGCTTGAATTAAAATCAATAAGACTAATCACATCAACATCATAGTGGAAAATGATCATACTTTAAACAAAAACATGGTTAGGAGCTTTACATATCATCAAATAAAATGACTCGTGTCTAATCTTTTTGAAAAGTTTAAAAGAAAACGTGCACAAAAGCCAAAAAAGTTTGAATGAGTTTTTTGTATTTTTTACGTCTTTTTGAAATGAGTCAAAGTATGGTTAACATTGATTGACATTTATTAAAGAAAACAAAGTTTGAAAATCACTTGACCAAAGTTAATGTTTTATTATGAAAGCGGTTTTAAGTTTGAAAAGACTAAGGTTTTGAAAAAGATTGGAGATTTTGAGAATTTAAGAAGGGGTGGAGAAGAAGGGATTATCCTATTGCATAAAGATAAAAGTTAAGGATAAGAATGGTCTAACCATACAAGCAAGCTATATAGCATAAGTATTCTTTCCTTTATATTAGGTCTTGATCAACATAAGTCTTCAAAGGAAAACTCCAAGTGCTCAAAATCCAAGGTTTGATGTAACACCCATTTTAATTATTTAGTCATTTTATTATTATTTTAAATATTTTATGTTGGTGTGCCCTTAGGTGGGGTATGTTGGTATATGATTGGTGAGTACCCTTGATATGTAAGGATCATTGGTGGTGTGGAGATAATAATATAATAGATAATAGTAATATTGGTGGTATTATTATTATTATTATTATTATTATTATTATTATGATTATTATCATTAGTATAAATATTATTATTGGTGGGTGTCCCTGATATGGGAGAATTATTGGTGGTGAATTGGTGTAGATATAATAATATAATAACTAATGGTAATATTGGTGGTGCTTTGGTGTGAATATGATAATATAATGAATAATAGTAATATTGGTGGGGGTATTACTATTATTATTATATTTATTATATTTATTATTATTATATTTATTATATTTATTATTATTATATTTATTATATTTATTATTATTATTATTATTATTATTATGTTATTTTTATTAGTTATTATTATTATTGGGATAGGAAATAAAAAGGAAAATAGAATATGAAGGGGTGGGGGAAGTATTAGAGAAAATAACACGATAGAAAAAGGGAACGAAGAACGGAAAGAAAAGAGGAGGCAAAGAGACCAAATCCAGGAAGAATTTCATCGATCAACCGATTAACAAGGTAAGGGGGAGAAACTTGATTGGGAATGGTATATACATGTATAGGGTAGTGGGGATTCCTTAACCCCGTAGGAATGTATCGTTGATGAAGTTTTATATTGACATGCTATTGATTGTTGAGTTATGTTGATGTTGATGGATTGAAATATGTTGATGGTTGGTGAATTGTTGTTTTTGGTTAATTTGGCGTATAGGTTGGGTTTACGGTTTTAGGGAAGTTCTGTGTGACCTTTTTGATGTGTCGATAGATTGTTTAAGTGATGACTTTGGAATAATATGTATATGATGATGTACGGATGTTTGATGTTGCCATTGTTGATTGACTGTTAGTGTTGGTTTGGTTTAAGTAAGGTTCAGAGTAACTCTAAAGTGCCGGTAGTGTGCCGTAATGTTGATCTGGAGTAGAATTATAGGAAGATTGATAAGCCTAATATGCATTGGTCGTAATACGGATAGTATAGGAAGTGGATGTTATAGAATAGGCTTGAATCGGAGAAGAGTGAGAATTCTGAACTGTGAGAACTTGAGAAGTCGCAGGCAACTCGCTAGCACTTCGCTTAGCGAGAAGGCAGCGAGCGTTCGCTAGGTGCTCGCCTAGCGAGTGAGGTAGCGAGTGAGTCCAGTAGGTTCTGTTTGCCTTTGCAAGGAGGTTCGCTAAGCGAACAGGTAGCGAGTATTCGCTGGGTATTCGCTGTGGCGAGTTGGATAGCGAATCATTACAGTAGCCACTGCTGTCATTCGCGAGGAGGTTCGCTAAGTGAACAGGTAGCGAGCATTC